CGGCGCCGTCCTGGATGAGCGATTTTCTATGTTTCTGTGCGGAGCCTGACACCACAACCGCCGGACGCAGTTGTGCAAATGCGCTTGGGCGGCCTCAGAGGTGCGATTGGGGTCGGGTGCCATAAGGCGCCTGCGTCACGGGCTTACCTCTTTTTTTTTGGTGGAGGGAACCTGAAAGCAAACAGACTACCCGCCCGCACCGCCCCCGCCTCTGGTTGAGGGAGCCACGCCGCTGGGCGGTCTGCCGTTGCTGCGTGGTACCTTGTGAAGGCCATTCACGAGGCGCCGGCTTTCCTTGGCGTGCATGCCAATGCCTCAATGCGTGCAGGTCCAACACTGCGCCTGGGGTTGTCATTTGCCAGCGGCGTTCACCTGAAATTTGACGGCTCTGCTGCGGTGGAGGATTCATTGGAAAAGGTGGAGGGGCTGTTTCCCCTGGTGGGGCTTCGGGGGGCCTTTAGTTGGCACAACCCAGCACACGCCGGTTGTTGTGGAGGGCTTTACTGGAGCTCAACGTCCCGCAAACCCTCAAACTCACTGCAGAGGTCGTGCGTAATGGTTTCAGGTGCGACAAGCACGGTGAGGATTGCAATGCGCCGATTTCCAACGGTGTCACAGCCCAACATCTCCGTGTCGATTAGCCTTGCTGAGTGTGTGCGGCCGCATCGTGACAAATAGCCTGGTCCCGCTATTGGCACAATTTTTGGGTAAAATGCTCGGACACACACGATGAGCTGTGGGGCTGTTCAAGATTCCCGTGCATGTCTTCCGGATGTTGGGAAAAGTGAGTACTCAACTCCACCCTCAACTCCGCCTTTTGGCGGGCGTGATTGCTGTGGGTGCGCCGCTTATTTTGTCAGCAGCAGCCGCCAGGAGTCTGTTGGCGTTAGCGCCGAAACGTGGTAGCTACACGCGAAGGTGACCCTGTATCAATTGAGGCGTGCACTAGTGGGAGGCGCTGCCTTGACGACTCTGACTGTTCTCGCAGCCTTCGGTTTTTACTTGGACCAGCGCCACGACTGCGGCCGGTTTGTTTGTTTTTGGGAGAAGCTTTTCCATCAATGAGCTTCCCATTCATGGACTCCACACACACAAAGTAGTGTATTTTGCCGGCGTGTACGTGTTTGCGGTTCCTGTTTTTTTTGTTTTCGGCGGTCTGCGCCCTTGCACCACGCCGCCGGTCACAGTTGTAATGCACGCTATTCCCGCAAAAACCCGGCCTGGGGGGATCTTGGGGCCGATTGGCTGCTTTGGCAAATTCTCGTTCCTCGATTCCTGCGGGGTGCTCGTGGGGTCAGGGCCGCAGCTAGAAGGCGTTGCCTCGGCGGCGGTGCGTGCTGGATTTTACTTCTTCCTTTGCGGCAACGGCACTTTTCTTTTTTATTGGTGGATGGCGCGACCACCGTCTGGCGCCGCGACACGCCAGTTCGCAAAAAACGCAGCGTCTAAGGGGCCAGTTGCCGGCGATGTGCCCGAGGCACAACCCAATGGGAGGGCGCGAAGAAGGCACGCGAAGGAATTGGCGGGCCGTGCCGTGGAGTGAGGACGTGCCTTTGCGATGGGCCGACACCGCACATTTGTCTTTGCGTGTGTCAGTCTCTCTGCTGGGTGGTTC